GCATCAGCAGGAGCTAGCCAAATGATTCTGTTCGAACAAAAAGCTTCTTTACAAACATGTGAATGGACTTCGCAAGGTGCAACGGGGAATCCCACTACTTAATACGACCAAGGGGTATACACATACTGCGAAGGAGGCGGCCAACGCATTACGGGCCCAGTACTCCCCAATCTTCCAAGGTGTACAAGCCTCGACGTATATTCCGCCACTAGTTACCCCAACGTCCGTTTTATCCAACGTCACGTTCACTGCAGAAACGGTGCTGCAAAAGCTTCTATCCTTGCATCCACACAGCTCTCCCGGGGCCGATAACATTCACCCGAAAACATTACAGGTAGCTGCCACCCACTTGGCCGAACCCCTAGCTACATATTTTCAGCGCTGTTTCGAAGAGAACGTCGTACCTTCGAGGTGGAAACAAGGTGTAATAACGGCCATATACAAAGCAGGAAGTCGATCGGATCCTGCCAATTACCGCCCCGTAACGCTTCTGCCTGTGATCGCCAAAGTCATGGAAGCGGTGATAGCAGATGCGTTAATGTGATACTTGGAAAACTACGGCATAATTGCGCCAGAACAGCATGGGTTTCGTCAACATCGTTCATGTACGACGAATCTGCTGATAGCTCGTGACAACTGGACCGAGACTGTCGATGAGGGAACAGGAGTCGATGTAGCATTCTTGGACTTTTCGAAAGCCTTCGAGCGCCTGGATCATCGAATCCTGCTCATTAAACGCCAACAGTACGGTATCGGAGGCCAGCTGTTAGGATGGATCGGTAACTTTCTCTCTGAACGGCAGTTAGAAGTTAGAGTTCCATCATCCTTTTCCGATCCGATTCGAGTGGGATGCGGCGTACCGTAGGGTTCGGTACTTGGGTCTCGTTTGATCCTGCTTTTCATTAACGATCTAGTAAGAGTTATTACGTCGAAATTCTTACTCTTCGCGGACGACCTCAAGGTTTGGCGGGCGATAAAACGATCGGACAGCCATGAAGTCCTACAGCGTGACTTGAATGAGGCCTGGAATTGGTCGGTGAGAAACGCCCTGCCGTTTAATGTGAACAAATGTCGCGTTGTTCATTTCCGCCATCGACAAGTCCACGTCTACAAGCTTGGGGCTCACGATCTGAAGACCACCACTCAGGAACGCGACTTGGCTGTGCTGGTACAGGAAGACCTCGGGTGTTTCAAACAGTCAGATTCCGCTTTTAAAGGGGGCAACCAGCACGTTGGTCTCCTGCGAAGAGCATTCGGAATTTTGGATCTATCCATCTTCTCTTTGATGCCGAATGCCTACGTGCGTCCTCACGTCGAATATGCAATCCAGGCCTGGTAACCCTGGCTAAAACGTGATCTTGCAGCGCTTGAGACCCCACAGCGTCGAGCAACGAAAATCGTCAAGGGCTTGCGCCACACTCCTTACCAGGAACGACTGGAGATACTCGGAGTGTTCAGCGGACGGTACCGGCGACTTCGTGGAGAACTCATACTAGTGTACCAGAATTTGAGCGATCCCAGTCACGTATGCCGCCACCTCTTGAAGCTCAGCCCGAACACTAACCTTCGCGGTAACAGTTTAAAGCTGAGCCAACAGTACAGTCGTCTAGACTGTCGGAGAACCTATTTCTCCCTCCGGGTCTGCGGGCCCTGGAACGCCCTTCCAAACTCAGTTGTTTGTGCCCCCACATTAGATACGTTTAAAAAACGATTGGCCGTCGCACTGAGCGCCCTGCGCATTGTTTTATAAACGAAAACGCTGGTATATATTTTGGCTGACCAGCCTCTTTGGATTTATACCCCAAATTCACGGTAGTAAATCTGTGCGAACTGGTGAGTACTCCATTTTTATTTGCTACTATCACCAACGATAACAATTTCTTAGCCAGTTTTGCGTCGTACCACTTTATCCCCCTAAAACTGTTATACTTCTACCTTTTATCTCACTGACGCTCCTTACTTCAACCACTTATGTGATTTGCCAATTTGTTAGTATTTCTATTACCAACCTGCGGGACTCGTTAAGTGTATGCTTTTTTACCCGTCATATACCATTGTTCCATTGTTCCATTGTTCCGAATACTGACGCAAAGTGAAGATAGGGTCAATGCAGCTACGACGATGAAACCAGGCTTGCTCTTCACGAATATGGCTTTCACAAGTGGCAGTCAGTCTGTGAAGGAGTACATAGACAAACAATTTGTAGGCAATGGAGATCAGACTGATTCCTTTATGCTTGCCGCATTTCCATCTTGGGCCTCGCCTAAAAATTGGGACTATGAATGAGCGATTTTAGTCGCTTGAGACAGTTCCCTGCTACCAATGTTTCACTAGTTACCCGTATAAACCATACACCAGCGCTGGTCCCCTAAATTTGAAGAGGGCTGGAGCAAGATCATCTGGTCCCGCGGCTTTATTTAACTTCAACAGTTCAATCTCACGTTCGAGTTCTGAACGAGAGGGTGGATCCAAATGGACAGCCCAGGGAGCGGAGCGGTCACTCGCCGATGAGTAATCTAACAATCCTGAAGGATTAAATTGCCTTTCAAAGTGCTCAGCCCAAAGCTCCAAGCGTTTAGACAAGTTGTGAATACGCTGTCCACTTTCGTCACAAATGGTTTTACTAACAACAAGTCTTCTGCTGCCGGTTTCCCGTATCATCCGAAGTAACTTACGGTGGTTACCAAGGGAAGCGGCCATTTCCATCTCTAAAGCACCACGAGACGAACAGGATTAACGGTCTCTCTTCAGGCCAGCACGGAGATTTGTTCGGAGCGCTTTAGGAGTTTCCTTGTGTTCTCTTCCAGCCGGAATATGCTGGCAAGCATCGATAAGTTCCAGAGACTGTCAAGTGACCCAATGCCATGTTGGCGATTAGACATACTACATGAGGATTTTCCTGCCGCTACTAAGGACTGGTGCATAGGAGACCAGTGAGCTTCAACTTCATCCATTGAGCGCTTACTCAACTCGCATGACAGCGTACTTTGGTAGGCCTTCAGTACAAATGGCTGGTGTCAATGCGCCCACAACGTCCTCTTGGGCGTCCGCCAAAAACGCATCCGCAGGTCAAAACAGACAACTGAGTGGTCGGTGACCACACCTGTGCTCCAAATCGAGCTACAGCTCCGGACGCAGTCTCTCCATAGGTAGCTTACCGCAAGGTGATCGATTTGCGTCCATAGCTGGTTCGAGGCTGGTGGGCGCCAAGTCACCCTCCGGAGACTGCTGTGCCGGAAATTAGTGCTCGCAACAAATAAGCGAGCAATTTCACACAATGAAGTAACCGCTGACCGTTATCATTTCGGGAGCCTACACCAGATGTAGTTTATCAGTGGATAATTTTCCAATTTGAGCGTTCAAATCCCCAGCCAGCACAATAGTGTCCGAGCTTTTTCTGTTGCGAATGTGCTCGTTCAAATGGCGACAGATGTCGTCTCTTACCAAATCATCCTTAGAGTTTGTGGGTGCATAGAGTGTGATGACGAATAGACACCTGTTAGTCCCGCGCGACTTCGAAGCTTTCAAAGTGCCAGCCAATCGAACCGCACACAACCTGCTACTGATTGGAATCCAGTCAACCAGAGCAGTTTCAGCTGGAAGACTCAGGGCAAGACCAACACTGTCTTGGCTGGTGCTCTAGGCTGCATCGCCACCGGATATGCGCAATAAGAAAGTGCTGCTGGTATCACCTGAAGGAAATCGCAAAGTGAGCACAGAGCTCTAGTCTTGCCGGCGGGTCTCCGATAAGCAGCAGATATCCATCGAGAGGGTCTCCAATGTTCGGGCAAGTGCTGCCAGTTGACCGATCTGAAGCAGGGTGCGTACATTGGGGCACACCAATACGAAGGAGGACCAAGGAATCCAAATGGAACTCGATGAACTGGGTTTGGCCGTTTGGCTGGACATGGGCTTGTCGACAGGGCGGGAATGACGCGTTGCGTTCAAACGTGAGTTTAAAGTAGAAGGTAAAAGCCCAGCAAAAAAGGTGCTGGAGGGCCAAGAATTGCAGGTTGTAAACGGGGGGATAACAGTGAAGCTGTAACGGGACGGTAAAAGAGGAAATCCGTAAGAGTGGGAAAAAGAAGTTAGGAAGGCTTGAGGAGTAGCATACAAACCCCTATCCACCCTACTCGATGCCGCACCTACGGCACTGTTGATTATACTTTGCGGTGGCCAGAGAATCCAAAATCTTTTGAAGCAAAATTCAATGTACTGTGAGAGCAGGATATTGTCAGCTTGCCCAGGTCTAGACGGGAGAACGATTAATGTTCTCAATCAAAGCCTTTGGTTCAAAAACCTGACTGCAAGGCAGCAGGTTTGGCGTTGGGCTACAAGGAGTCTGTTATAAGGAATAAGGAGCCACCTCATTCCAAACCCAATCTGGAGGACCAGGAGGTTGCATTTGTCTGGCTTCTAGCCATTGACCATTCTGGTAAGAGTGGATCTGAAGGTGCATAAAACTCCACCCACCATAGCTCAATGGATCGCTGAGGCACACAAACCTTCGCACCACGGTAAGCTCCAGCCTCATTGCGATGGCGGGACACCACTGGTCGAGGGATATCAGTCGGTCAAGTGGTTGTCCATTTGCACCCTACACATCCGACCAATAAAGATGTTACTGGTATACTGGTGCGATGGGCAACCAACACCACACATAGCTTCCCTGGGTGGATCTCATGGTTCAAATTGTCATAGGCTTTACTAAAATTGATGTAAATGATGTCAGCCAACTTCCGTTTGTTTAACGCTTGCTACCATTCTAGCCACGAGAGCAGCATGTTAGTTATGTTTAACTAAACTTCTATGAAACCGTGTTGCGCAAGCGTCAATATGCTTTTCGACTGGAGTTGTCCCAGAGAACTTGGCTTTAAGATCTTCTCGTGTGTCTTAGCCAAAACTGAGATCATGCATATCAGCCTGTGCTTTTCCACCTTGCTCCGAATGTCGCCTTTTGGAATAGATTTCACCACTGCGCATTTTCAGTTTCTCGGAAATTAATTAACGGACAGCGACCTGTTGAATAGCTCAGTCACCGAAGGCGATATCATGGCCGATAACGATTTGAGGATCATCGGATGGAGCACATCAGACCCAACAGGCTTGGTACCGTCCAGATTGGCGAGCAATTTGAACACATCATTAACTTTGCAATCCAGGCTGTACAGCTCCATGAGGACGATTTGCGTCCAACGCAGTACGGACGCCTGGTTATCTGCAAAAGCAGAGGCGAAGTGCGCCGCAAAGGCGAAAGCACACGAGGTGCTAGAAACTAGGGCCTGCCCGTCCGAGCCATCTAACACAGCCACGTCACGCGTCGGCATCAAGTGTCGCTTCATGTTTGCAAAGCTCCTCTTGGGAACTGCTTTGCTCTGGTTGCAAGTTGCTTCTCGAAGTCTCGGTGTTCGCTCTTTTTGCGCTGTGGAAGGCATCTTCATGCCTCTTATGCGCCAAAATCGCTCCTGTACCACCAATATGTTCATTGATTGTGCAAGCTGGACGGAATCTGTGGACGCTGGTGTAGGAGTCGATGTAGCCTAACTGGATTTTTTAAAGGCATTCGACCATATAGAACATGGTATTCACCTCCACAAACTCCAGAAATATTGTATCGGTGATCCTGTTCTGGGCTGGATAGGAGACTTTCTAGTTCCACATCAACTGAATTTGAGGGTTAGAAGCAACCTTTCAGAATCCATCGAAGTTCAGTGCGGCGTACCTCAAAGCTCGGTACTTGGACCCCGCTTGCACCTGTTACTCATAATTGATTTCGCGAGCGTGCTATCTTTTAACAGTTTGCTATTTACTGATGACCTAAAGGTATGGCGCACTATAGCTGCTGTGGAGGATCATACTGTATTACAGGAGGACCTACACGAAGTGTACATATAGTCCTCCGAGAACATGCTGAATTGCTAAATAACCAAATGCAAAGTTCTCAGCACACAGCACAAGAGTCTGCACAACTACCGCCTAGGTCCACAAATTCTACAGCGGGCTTCTCACGAGTGCGATCTCGGCGTGATAGTTCAAGATGATCTCGGTTGTTTGAGGCAGACTGAAAAGGCAACTAAGAAAGCAAACCAGTACCTTGGCCTTCTTCACAGAGCTTTCGGGGAAGTTTGACCTTTTAGTTATTCCAAAAATGCTTAGTGCGTACGTGAGGCCGCACTCGGAATACTTTATTCAAGCTTGGCAACCCTGGCTCAAGCACCATCTCACCGCGCTGGATACTGCACAACGTAGGGCAACGAATAGCTTCAGAGATTTGACCAGCCTCCCCTACCCACTCAGGCTGAAGGCCCTCAAAATATACAGTGGAAGTTATCGATGTCTAAGAATAGATCTCACAATAGTGTACCAGATCCTGAGAAATCCCAACCACCAATGCCATTACCTTCTAATACTCAGTCAAAACACTTCGCTAAGAGGTCACCAGTATAAGTTAGTCACGCAGTACAGCCGCCTGGAATGTTGGTGAAACTATTTCTCCCTTTGAGTGGCACAGCCTTGGAAAGCCCTCCCGGAACATGTAATTTATGCACCCACCGTATCTCTGCTATAGCCCATGACCACTAGATACTGTCACTAATGCACAAGAGACAGCGGATAATGCCATAGCCGTACTAGAGAATGAGTCACTCAAAACCCATTGCACGAAATTTGATAAATGCTAATACTATAAAACTGCATCTCTGTATCCTGTCGACCAAAGATAGTTGCATTTAAGTAAGATTTGTCCTCGCTAGTTTTTATAGTTTTCACCTGTTATATGATCAATAACCACTCCCCTTATTGCTTTGTTAGCGTATATTCTCATTTTAAACTCCCTTTATACCACAGTGCAGTTAAATCTGTTATCGCCTGAACTGACCAGCGCGTTATCGCTTGATCTCTATTTCTTTCACGCTAACCACCCTACGGGACATGTCCAGCACTTACTTTTTACCCGTTATAACTCATTGCTCATTGTCCATTGCTTACACAGCTCATCAAGGCTTCTGTAAATTTTCATGAGGCAACCTCACAAGAAAGACCGTATGTATAGCAGCACGCTACCGTGGTCACTTGATAGACCATCACAGCGGAAGCACGAATACTCACTGCTTTTAATTTCATTGGCGGTTATCCCTGAACTTAACCAAGTTTCAGTTAGGCTCAAGACCTCTAGTTGCCGAGGGGCAAGGAAGTGACATACATCGTCAAGTTTGTTCATTAGACTTTTGATATCGTAATGGTTCCAAGAAGGTCGAGACAGGAACCGTCGGGCGTGAAAGCATTAGCGATCTGTCCATCCGGTTTCGAGAAAAGAACCTGGTTAACTATTCGAAACTTTACAACGCGAAGGTTTGTTTTACCGCCTACGGTGCGCCGCATTAGTTCAATCACAGTAGGTTGGAGTTTTACTCGGTCTGCTGAATTCATGTCTGCGCACACATGTATCTTCAAGCCATTAAGTCAACCGAGACCCGATATTATCGACATCGGACCAGCTTCGTCAGCAAATGTGTCTCTCATGCGTCGAATGCTTCCCTCGTTTTCTTTCCCATACCGGCAATTTGATTAAGTTTTAGCTGGTCTTCACTGACGGCCAGCAGTCTATCAATTTGACTCTTCAGAAACTCGAAGTCATGTTCATAGCGAAGCTCAGGATTTGAATCTAACAATTCAGGTGTTTGGAAGGCCATCAATATGTGAGGCCTCAGGGCTGTGGACATATTTTACAGTTTCTTTGGCAGTTGGGTTTGCCAGAAGAATTCTCTACCTGGATTGTCACAAATTCAAGTTGTAGTCTCCGTCAAAGCAGTAGCAGGTCGCAAGGTGGGGTTACTCGGCAAGCTAGGAATTCGCTCAGCAGAGCCGGTGGTAGGCGTGCTCGGTGCTTGTATCTGTGTCTTTTGCACAGAACTTACAGTGCTGCGGGCCTTGGAGCACCTCGCATTACTGGACCGTTGATTAAGTTTCCCAGGAGACTGGGACTGCTCTTTGTACTACCAATTCTCACATATAATCTTGACAATATAGTGCTAAACCTCGCGGATAACGTGAAACTGGTCCACAGGAAGACAAATACACGAAATGGGAAAATTTACCAGGCGAATACCACATAAAACAGCGTTTGCGCCATGACCAAGGATCTTAGAACAAGTTCCGCAAATGATTGTTTCAACATTTTAAAATTTACCAGCGGTTAGTTGAATTTTACATCATAAAATTTTTCTCTGGCTGTGGCACTGAATGGAGGCACTGCAGCTACACATTCTGTTTCACGTATTTGTATGTGGTTTACAACGGAAAATACATAGCCCGGAGTTCAGTATGCAATTTACGCCAGATTTTTAATGGAAAATTAAGAGTTAAATATAAGTGGCGTAAATTTATGGCTCAACTTGGTTTTATTACTTCTTTATTTATAACAAACTATTAGGGATACAGCAAAAATGCGTCCGACAAGAATACGTTAAAAAATTTTCATTGCCTTCAAGCCACCTTTGTGCAGATTACTGAACTTCAGGTAACCCTATTCTAGCAGCGCACTCATATGCAATGAGCAATTTTCCAAAGCTTAGTAACTGACTTATATGTGTCTGTAATTACCTGGTTTTGGTCACATCATGGTTTGCAAGTTCGTTGAAATATATAGAGCTGTTATACTTTAGTCATGAATCTCTAACTGAAGAGGAAACTGGAATGGTGTCATCATGAAAAATAATTAAGCATGCCTCTGTATTGTACCGAGAGCGGACAGCCATCGGACTGCGTGAGCGGACAGCCATCGGACCTGCGTGTAGGGCGGACAGCCCACCGGTCTGCGGTGAGCGGACA